TTTTTAAATAGTTTTGTAAATTAGTTTTATTGAACAGAGCCATATTTATTCATTTACATATTGTCTATGGCTGCTTTTGCACTATGACGGCAAAGTTGAGTAATTGCGAAAGCGATTATACTATCTGGCCTTTACAGAAAATGTTTGTCAACTCCTAATTTAGAGTAAAACAAAGTTTCAGTGTTTATTTGAAAGGTCAGTGAATGACAGGATGGGAGAGAATTGTAATTTGTACCCGAACACCATCGTTTTTTGTTGTCTTTACTACTGGTTGCTGTGTGGATTCAAACATGTCACATTATCTTTCCACAACTCAGGTTCTTCATTAATAAAAATAAATAAGCACACATATAAGAAGGTGATCATAATTTTCAACATATAAACTTATATGCATGTTTTAAGTATAATAACATGCATAAAAGTTCCTGGTCAAATTTAAAATACTAAAAATATTTGGGGCATTAATCATTGACAAGTTTATCAAATCTAATCCATCTGTTCACCTTCTTGATGACAAAGTCTTGCAACAGGTCTAAACTTGCCCTTCCCAGGTTTATTCTGGGCCCAGGCCAGTACTGTGGCCTCTTTTAGCTGGTAATGGATAATTTCTCCCCATTTGAGTATTTAGAATAATGAATTTTGTTATGAGATACAAGGAATATATGATTAAGTAATTATTTTCTTTTCTCTCTGAAGGGTCATCATTAAAAAGTAGTGCTTTCCAGCCAATGGCATGGAAGCCGCACACACATAGCTCTACAGGGCCCTCTGCCAGCTGGTCTCATTAAATCCCTGACATGCTCTCCTGCATTTTGTTGTCAGAGTTCACCCCTTGACAGTTTTGTAGTTCTGTCCCAGGTTCACACCTCGTGTTTCTTCCTCTTGCTGGACTTCGACTCTTTTTGTTGAACAGAATTTTCTCTTGTGTTTAATTCCACATTTATCACACTTTTATGCCTTAAAGAAAAAGAACATTCCACAGTTGCTTTTCCTTTTTTTGAAAACTTAAGATCCTGATCCCTTCTCTCATCCCAGGCCAAGCTACAAGAAGGAATTGAGGTCTTGTCTACAAAATGATGGGTTTTCCTTTTTATAGGCAGCACCCTCCCTTCTGTTCTCCTGGATAGTGCACTGTGGTTTATCTATCATTACTCTTGGTGTCATATAACGGAATTCAGTTCTTTCAAAAGGCTGAGATTTTAGAAAATGGAGAATCATAAACCTAAACCCTGTGAATAAAGCTTGTGCTCTTCTGTGTGTCCCGCGATGGCAAGAGACATTGAGAACCCACAAGAAGAGTCAGTGTGTGGCAAAGTTTCCCACATGTAAAGGTTTTTTAATAACTTTCGTATCTGAACTGTTTTATCAAAAGCAGAGGGCATCTGTTCTTTGCATTTTGGGTAAGTAAAAAATTCTTATTCTGTATATTCTTACTGCCAATTATGATTTGGACAGGTTATAAACAACACTTCAGGGGATGGGGGCTTAGGGGTGGGTAAATTCACAACATTACATTACATTATTATTGCATTACAGATATTTGCTTCCATTCTTCCAATGAATGTTGTAATATATAGAACACTTGATTAATTGTAAACTAAGAGTAAACAGCTCAGAAATCTTTAAAATTCTGGCTAAAAAAGACATTTATTCTAATAGACATGAATAAAATTTTCTTCAAAAACAAAAAAAGCATAATTATGCTAGCTCCCCTTAACTTGTCTGATCAAACTCTTCAAGGTCACTTTCAAAAAGGAATTGGAGTTTCAGGTCATAAAGGAAAATAAACAGGGCTTCATAATCTCAAAAGTTTGAAAAGTTTCAATTTAAAAGATGACACATAGCAGAGAAGTTTACATCGATATAGTTTAAAAATACAAAAAAAAAAAAAAACCAACCCATGAATATTTTCACCTTCCTTCCCCATATCATCAATAGCTAAAGTTATTGCTATAATCTGTCCAAATTGCTAAAGATAATGACTGATAATCTACCATTAAAAAATAATGAAATTTAGTTTTGTCCTCCCTGCTCTTCTCTTTGAGTACTCTGATATAGAAGGACAGTCACTAAATATCAATAAATATCAATTTTTCATAGTGGTTCAAAGAATACACTTTAGAGTCAGATAGCCCTGCATTTAAACCCTATTTCTATCACTCATATGTGACCTTAGACACACAAAACTTAACCTCTCTGTACCTCTGTTTCTATATCTGCAAAATCAGGATCCTAATAACAACCTCATAGGGTTTTTGTTAGAATTAAATGAGACACATGTACATATTCACAATAGAATATTATACAGTTGTCAAAATAAGTGAATTATAGCCATACTCAATAACATGAATGAATTATAGTATTATAACATTTAATTAAAAAGGAAATAATAAAAGATAACTTACAGCATGATTATCTTTTAAATAAGGTTAAGAACAAATAAAATAAACATATTCTTTCCCATAGAAGGAAAGAGAATAATGACTATGGGGCTCAAGATCATGATTATCTTAGGCAAGGAAAGCAGCGGATGGACTGGGGCTGGGGAACTACATGGTTAAGTGTATACTGTTGTCAATGTTTTAGGGTAGGAGATATTCTGTTTTTATTATATGACTTAAAAATAGCTTATAGAGTGGGATATAAAAGAAGTTTATGGTAGGATATTTTTAGGGTATAAGATTCTCTGTTTTTATTATATTATTTAAAAATGGCTAAATAGAGTGGGGTATAAAAGCAGTTAGTTTAATGAATAGTGACAATGAAAACATGTCACCACTGCAAGAAAAAAAAAATATATATATATATTTGAAGAAGAGGAATAAAATAGCAAAAGGCATGTGATAGTCTCAATGGAAATTTCGAAATAAAAAATTCTATGATTATTTACAGGTACAAAGATGTTCTTGGTAAATAAATGAATTAGTTGTAGTGACTACTCCTCTAGTGGCTAAGAGTGTTAGTGCAACTTTAGCAAAAGACTAAAGACTGATGGGAATTATCTGGAATCCTAGAGACTGAGTTTGTGTGTGTGCATGTGCGTGCTCTCTCTCTCTCTGTCTTTCTGTATCTGATTCTCTCTTTCTTTCTTTCTTTCTGTCCCTTAAATCCTTTTAAATTTGTTACTAGGACCTAGCTGAAAATGATGTTGATGTTACTGTAAAAGCCAAAGAAAAAGTTAATGTCCTTTGGAAGCAATAACAAAATTAATGCAGAACTGCTCAGGGTTCCATCTATAATAATAGCAAATTTTAAAAATAAAAAAAAACATTGTTTTTAATATCTATGTATGAGGTATATGGATTGGTATATAGGTTGATAAATAATTGTAATAAATATCCTATTGCTATTTACAATTATCATTAGGTAACAACTTTGGGTTTAATGTTAAATTTCTATTCTTTATAAATGTGCCAATACAAATAGAAATAATACTTTACATATGTGAACTCATCATAACCCTGTGAAATGAATACTGTTGAAAGCCCATTTTACAGAGGAAGAGATTGAGATACTAAGGGTTCATACAAGAAACATGATCAAGGTCACACAACTAGACTGAGATTTGATCTAATCCCAAAGCTGGGTCCATAACCAGCTTACTAAAGGTATAATAAAGATGCAGTAGAGAAAAAATATATATAGAGAAATATATATATATATATATAGAAAAAAATATATATATTTCACAATATCCAGCCCACTAACTATCGGGATGCTTTATAAGGTACATGCGAAATTTTAATAACAACGAGGCAAATACCTGAAGACTCCATCTTCCTGCAGTGGGGCTCGGGGTGGGACAAATATAGATGAAATAACAAATCATCTGTGTATTAGATTTTAGATCATAAAACCCATTTGCCTTGGCAAGACACTTTCATTTAACTGCCAATTTAGTCTTGCCAATTAAACAGCAAAAGAGGAGTTTTTCAACCAAAACAGTTTATAAGTGTCTAACGTAGATACTTTATTAGGAAGTACTATGGTACTACCTTTGAGGGTGCTGTCTCTTGGGTTATGCAGGTAAGTCAGATGAGCCTACCTGTTTAGCAGAGGGAAGGTGAACCACACATAAATAAATTAATTCTCTGACAGATTGCTGAATGATTGCTGGGTGGGGTAGGATAAATAAAACCTAGTCCTAGAAGGCTTTGAGAAGAAATGGTTGCTTGGTCCCAAGAAGTTCTCTCCTCCTTGGTTTTCCTCTTTAAGAGCTTTCATGCTGAAGATTTCTTAACCATCAAATTCATCTTCTACAACACCAAAGCCTCAGGCTGACACCAGCTAGAACCCAAATAATGATTGCATTTACTGGAGGGTTCAAGTAGCCTGGCCTAGCTTGGACAATAAGGAAAAACATTTTAATGTTAAACTTTTTAAATAGATATTGTGTACACAATAGAAACAAACAAGGGGAAATACCTCTTTATGGACATCTGGTGAACATGAACACAACTGTATTGCTAAGATTGGCAATATTCTACAATGGAATATGCTTGTAGTGAGGAACCTCTTTTACTTTATTTCTTCCCTCCATAAATAGTTGACTCTTTCATATGCAAAAATTATCTTTCCTTTTGTTAGCATTAATGACCTTCAATTAAATCATATGCTTTTATCATATCAATTTATGGAAGTATTTTTAACCAAGTTATTTACAGAACATTTAGGTCTGTCTTTCAGAGTCCCCAGTAATCTTTAGTGTTTGCTGATCTGTCTTTAATTTATCAAAGTCCTCCCTCAACAAACATTGTACAAAACACACAAGCCGCAGACATTTCCCCTATACAATGTGTATTTGATATGCTTAACGTTCATCTTTATACACACAAAGATGTTGGCATATAAGAAATGTGGAGGGTGTCTATAAATTTAAGGAAACATTTAAGTGCACAGTGATACACAGATACATGGGTATAATACTTTATGTACTTGATAAATATTTCATCCCTATCATAAAGAGAGCTTTTTATCAACTTTGATTGTTTTTTTATTACCTTAAAGTATTGCAGTTGTTTCTCAGCATTCATTGTTCCTTCCTTTTCTTGTCTCAGACAGGAATTGAAGATGAAAAGCTCTGTATCTCTTAGCCACCCTTTCAGTTCTTTGATCCTGACCTCCAGCTGCCTTACCAGGCTTCCGCTTTCAGGAGAGAGCAAGTCACGTGGACCTGACCCACCGTGCCCTGCCATTGTGTCCTGGATCTTCTCTCCAAGGGTTTTCTAATGCATTAGATTAAAAAACAAAAAATAAAACAAACAAACAAAAAACCCACCACCAACAAAAAACAAAAACATAGATTAGCTTAGGCACCAAAAACACATCACAGTTTGGTTGATAACAAGAGCTACCCGGAAGTGTCCTGCTGTACCTGCCTCCTCATTACTGACATTCAGTTCAGATTAGCTCATTATTCCATTTACGATTCAAATTCTCAGACAGTGTATGTTGTTCTGATGACCAGTGGATGCTTAAGATCTCATTTACTTATACTGTCCTTTAACAGAAAGGAAATTTGGCCCAAAAGTTCACCATGGTCACAGATGAAAATTCATATGAATTCTCATGAGAGGAGTTTACAGTAAAAAATTCTTGTATAAAATGTTCAAGAGATAGAAGTCTGAGTTTAATCAATATACTAACAAGGCCAAGAGAAGATTGTAGAGGGAGAATTAAATTCCTTTTTTTTCCTTTGAAGTTCAATTCTAAAAACATGACCAAGGGCTTTTAAGAAAAGGTAGCCTCCTTGGTGCTGTTGTTGATTTTACCTGACTTGGAAATTGCTCAATCCCACAATTCTTTCCATTTTTCATTTGTGCGTGCTAGACTTTGTAACAACATGTATGTGTTAAAATAATCCCCGTTTCACTATGCTAGAAACCTACTTAGATTAACCACTAGGGTATGTGGATGTTGTTGGGGAGGATTCTTTTCTTTTTTTGTCTTTTTAGTGGAAAGCACTCAGAATCAATAGGCTTTAATCTATAATGATGAATTAAACTTACAAATATAAGCTTTAAAACACAAATAAAATTAAGTCAACAAACATTCATCTGCTGTGTAGTGTTCTGTAAATGGTATCTTTAGGAGATTGTAACAGAAAAAATAGCCTTTCTTGGCAACACCCTTGTATTTTCATGGTGCAAATATTGATAATTTGAAGACCCTCAGTGGAATCCAGATTTAGCTATTGTTTTTATGCTGTAACAAAAGTAGCAGCAGGAGGTGAAATCAATGCCCTTGGAGGGTAGGGTCACAAAAAAGAATTTATTGCCACTTTTTTGTTCTGGAACAGTTTGCAATCATAAATTCTTCATAAACAGAATACTTCAGAGAATGGTCCGTCTTCATAAATATACGACAGAGGACATCAATTTCATTTAATTCACAATTTGTGTCAGCACAGCAGATGCCAATGCCTGCCTTGATAGGGTTGTTTAATATGCAATTGAGACAGAGTAATATGCAGCACAGGGGACAAAATTTCACAGATTAAACTGTACGCACCACTGACATTTCATTCTAATGTATTTCCATTCCACACTGTTCACCTTAGATGAAAGTAATATTAAAAACCATATCCCTCTATTTTACTATTGTTAGAAGTTAAAATCCTTGTCTTTAATTTTTTTCATGCCAATTAAAATGTAATCATGCCAATTAAAACAGTATGCTTGGTGGTGTTAGTGTGGCACAGGTTTTGTTATAATCTTCCCTCGCCCTACTCTCGCCCCAAATCATTGCAAAACTGCACATTGTATTCAAACGGTATTTTTGTCAAAATGGCAACCATTTTTAGTCTCTGGTTCATAAAGGACAGCTAAATATTGTTTCTTTTTTCAATATGATGCTGATTTAAAATCTTTGTTGAGGAATTAATCTACGTAATACATTTTAAATAATTTTCTAAAATGATTATTGCTAGTTATCAAATTAGCAATAAATATATTAAAATGCAATGTAAGCAGACTACCACTTTATCCAACAAACACATAAAGTCACTGTTCTTATCTATTTGATAAAGAAACATTTAAAATGTTATATGTTAGCCACACTTCTCTTGTCTGAGATCAATGAATTCTGTAGAATTTAGTAGGTTCTGATTTAAATCACCATAGTATACAGTGGAAGCCATTAATTACTATTAAAAAGCAATGTAACAATAGGTTAGATTAAAAACTTTTAACATTTTAAGTTACTTTGCACAACTGCAAAGTGTAGTGAATTTAGATGAGAAGCAAGGACTTAAATTTGCAGATTTTTAATCACATAGATTAAGCATGGCATAAACAGAATATTGGCATTCTTCCAAGTCATTAAGGTACATGGAGAGCTTTTCATTTGAAATATTTTTGGAATATTTTTTCTTTAAAAAAATATTTTTAAAGGCAGAAAAATGGAAGGCATGCAAAATTATGCTCCATAACTGACACCAACTCTTACTTAGCTGTTGTAATTAATCATTTAGGTAATTGACAAATGTAGCTTACCCTTGATTTGAAGTGAAGGTAATTTAGGAGAGAAGCTGATAAAAAAAAAATACAGTTTAACTTCTCTCTCTCAGCTGTCTTCCAACAAAAGGACAGTACTGTCTCCTGCACAGTGCCATCCTGGTCTCTGGGTAACAGAATCTCTATATTGCCTTTTTGCCAGATTCTTGCATCTCAGTCTTTGGCTGAAACCCAGCCCATCATTGCGTGAAATGAATTACACGAAACTTTTTTTTTTTTTTTGGCTTTTGTTAAAAGTGAGCTGGAATTGAGGCACAAAACACAGGGTGATTTAATTCTGCAATTCAGATTTGGGTCAAATTTGCATCTTTGTTTTGGTGGCTTTAGTGTGACTTAAAAGCTATAGTGACAACTCCACTTTTCATCTTAAGGGTACAGTAAATAGTTAAACAGTGGATGTCTCTTACATGTACCTTCAGAATAAATTCTATTAACATTCATTCAAGCATGACAGTCAGTGTATATCAGATATAGTGTATTATAGTTGACTTGGTGCATACTCATAATACATGGCATATTTTACTTACTTTTTTATGTATTAAAGGACCAAAATTATTAAAATCTGAGAGGAGACAAGCTCAGAATAAAAAAAATCAACAGAAGAGGAAAAGCAGTGTTTTCCCCATAATAGCATGAATAGCTTGTTTGAAATGTAGGTAGTGAATTGAAAGAGAGAGATATTTGTGCCTCAAATTAGAAATCAGACAGATAGAGTACTTCACTACGCAAAAAATGTACACATAACCTACAAACAGTAATAAAAATGCAAATACCCCAAGCAGTTCCCATTTTTCATTAATTGAATCCACTTTTTCAAGGAGATCATTTGGTAGTAAAACGCCACCTTTCTTCAAAGCTTCAACCTTACTAAGCAGCTCCGTCTTTTTCAGGTGCCTGATGGACATTTCCACATTGTATCTCTAAAATAAAAAGAAAGAAACCGATATCATTAAGAAGAGAGGTGTTCTTAGAAAATCTTTGAGTATAGAGTTTATGATATCTATGGTATTAAAAGTTTTTGTTTCCAATAAAATTTATAGGGAGGCTAAACCTAAGTACTTCGAGTAGTTGATGAATATTGCTGAAAATAGTTAAATATATTATACACACATACATAAACATCTAAGTTATCACATTTAGTTGACTAAGATTTATGTCTTTTTAAACTGAAGTTTACACACACATTTGATACCTACATTAAAGCATTCCAAATAGGAAAATATGTGGTCTAGGGGGAATTAGTATTACAGTTAATTTTGGTCAATATTTGGCTCCTAAAGGAGTACAGTCCTAAAGGACCCAGTCTCAGAGTGGTGGAAATAAAATTGTCCATAAAGATTTTGTGACTTCCTCCTTATCTAGTAAGTTCTCTGAATTCTCAGTTAACATTTTATTTTCATTTTTTTTGTACTTAAAAACTTTGTGTGGGCTTGGAGAAAAGGTACATACCGAGAGAAAAAAGAAAACCAGTGTTTTAGGAATGGTTACAAACCCATGCTTCTTTATTGATTACTGTAAAATGTCCCAAAACATAACAGTTGATTACAGAACCCTCCTCCCCAATATACATTATATTCTAACAAACTGCCAAGTGAGCCTCTCCTAAAAGATGTTTTTGCTGGAGATAATGTAATGTTTTAAATATGACAGTTACTATAGTGATTCTCTTCAAATAACTCTATTTGGATAACTTCATAGTTAGTCCTATATTGTGGGTGGCATAAATGACTGGTTGCATTTTTTAAATGTGCATGCAAAAACACCTCTGAGCAGAAAAGCTAGATTTTGGTTAAAATATTAAACACATTTTACATTTTTAGAACATTTCCAAAATATAATGATAATTTCAAAACTTCTTTCTTTGTGGCACCAAAGTTAGGTCACTGAGTTCCATGGTAGCATTGTTCCTTTGCCCTAAATGAACAAGGTTGCCCTAAGATAAGCACTCTTATCAGATCTAATAAGAAAAACATTTGTCTGGAGAAAGTATCAAATAAGCAAATTCAAACATGCCCAAGCACTTGGGTGATTTTATTCACCTTGAAAGCATGATATTATAAGATTCCAAAATAAACTACAATTGGAAGCAGCTTAAAGGAAAAGAAGGTGTGAAATCACTGTTTTAGTTAATAGATCTTCAGCATTTGCTTGCATATGTTTGCATACTTTTGGTTTCATATTTTAATCTTTCACTTACACTAAACATGCACATCATTTGTATTATGTAAACTTCTCCAAATGTTAGTCATTTGTGGATCACAGAACAAAATGTTTTAAATGAGGTGATTTAAAGCATTTCATATTATTAATGAATGTTGATCTGGGTGTCAGAGTATCCAAAATTACATGAATATGCATAGTGAAGAAAATCAACGTTGCTTTAGAGCACTTTTAGAATTTGGCCTGTGATACATGAGAAATTCTGATTACATTTTCTAATGGCAGGCAATTACCAGGACCACATTACTCTAACACTTAAAAAATACACTGTCCACTCGAATTTTCTGGACTCAGTACTGAACAAGTATTCTGGAAACCTAGATAGTGTTTTATTTGTCAAAGTGATGACTGGAGGAGAGAGCAATCTGCTTTATGTAATCAGATGTAGCTAACAAAGATTTACATAATTAATTTTGTAAGACTTCAACATAATATTGGGGAAACTGGTATTTCAAGCAGGCAGAAGAATCCTATTCAAATCTTTTACTTATACCACATGTATTAATCGAAAGAGGGAGTCCTCTGGCTGTGCCACCTGGGAGTGGCCTCCACCAGTTACCACTTTAACTTGTCACAAACTCATCCCCTGACTTTACCTCAACTTTGAACAGATCTTACATAGTCAAGAAAGAGAATAGTTTAGATGTGGCCCATTAAAAATGACAGTTTTGTAAAAATAAAAATATAAAAAGCAATTAATTTAATTTTAGATGAAATAAAACAATTTTCTCTGTGAAATGTGGTGATGAGTAGTCACTGCAACAGCTATTATAATAAAAGGTTATTATATTAAAAAATAACTTGTCTTCATGTATGCTCTCTGTCTTTGCCACCATGTAGCCTACTGTATAAACCTGATGAAAGATGTGATTGATGGACAATGCCTTCAAACTGTAAAAGCTAAGCAAATGTACTTAATTGTTAGATGTACAGGTATGTGAATGAAAGGTACTAGAATTTCATGTAATTTAAGGTGAAAATATTTATTTTAAGTTTTTAAAGCACTCTGAAAGCTGAATCTGATATGATTTAGGGCCTCAAGCTGTATGTGTAATAATGCCAGGATGGTTATATTTTTGTTGATGCTAGTACGTTTTTGCTCTTCCCTCTCTAACGTCTTTTCAGAAGCATTAGATGCAGAGAATCAACTGCCAGCTCTATCAGTTCTCGGTCATCCTATCAAGTAGGGCTACTTTATCCTGTGGTGAGAAGATAATTTAATCTTCATATTCATTCCACCCACAGCAGTAAGTGAGCAGAGGCTGCCCCATTGTGTCCTGTAGTCTGGGGATGTTATGATATGGACCACTCTTCAATAGCCAAAAATGAGATTAGCAAAGTTAAAGTCAGATGGCTTTTCTTGAGTGCTAAGGTAAATAAGCATCCAGTATTTAATTTCCCCACAGCACCTGCTGTGGGTCTCTCTGTCTAGTCAAAAATAAAATATACTCTCTTGAAAGGGCATATTTACATTATTAAGTGTATTTGCTTGGCCAATTCAATTTTGACTAATGAAGCCTCCTAATAGATATGTGAATGATCTAAATTAAAGACACAGGCCACTACTATTCTAAATGCCACTCCTGTGTGTATAAAGAAAACTTTAAAAAAAAGAGTTAAAAATAACCACAAACACTAGCTCACTGTTTTAACTAAGAATTACCGAAGTTTTTAGAAAATTCTTACTGAGTGCTTACTTTTTAAAAGCACAATGTTAAAATTAAATTATAAAATGAAGCCAGTAAAAAGAAATTTCTGAAATAAATATACTTAGAAATGCATGAAGACTTGATTGAGATAACTTTTTTGACAGTTATGCTAAAGGCTCCCCCCCTCCAAACCTTTTTTTTTTGTTGTTGTTGTTAAAAATCACACCGAAAATTCTGCCCAAATGGAGACTGGAACAATGCCTTGAAACAGTGTTAATTGTCACCATGGAAACCAGAAGAATAAGCCATTTTGAAACTGGTATAGAAGGCACACATTGAGCAACTCAAGCATTTTTCTGCCTCCCTCAATGTTAAAGAACAAGATGCCTTGTCACTGTGAGGTCAGAGAAAGAAAACATCATGAAAGGGTTGTCGATGCTCACTGTCTAGTAAATAAAAAAATAAAAAATAAACTATATACAGCTAATACCATAAGACTCTATCCAGTGAAGCTTTTTGAAATAGAAAGATCATCAAAAGATGGCCAGGAATGGGGGGATGGCTTCCACCTAAGCAAAACTTCAGGGCTATATTATGTGAACCTTGCCCCCAAAGCTCCCTGGGAATTCTGCTGTTGTAATAAAACTTCAGAAGAGGAAAGAAAAAAGGCAGCATGATGGAATTCAAAATAATGCTCTAAAAGCACACAGAGAGATTAAGACATCCATTGTAAGACTTTTGTATGGTGCTTCTGTTGGTTATGCTGAAAAGAGACCAGACATTACTGAACGGAGAGTGAAGCTTTGGCTATGAGAAACACAAGAATTAAGCAAAGAATTTTCTTGATTATTAGAATAGGGCTGTCAAATTCTGTGTCATCAGGGTTTGAGTATTTACAGCTTACACAATTATTACTTTAACTGGACTTCAGGTGACTTTATATTAGAAAGAGTTAAAACAAAGAAAATGATCTAGTTATTAGAATGACACATTTGAATATCTTTGCAGGTTCAAATTAATACCACAAATACCTGTATATCCAGCAAGACCCTCCCCCTTCCCCAAAAACACCTGATATTAATAGACAGACAAGTGGATAGATAAGAGAAAATACACTGAAAAAAATAAAATATATCTTAGACTATCAGCAAGAAAACATATGCTAGGAACACACAAAAACATCAGACTACAGGAAAACTTATGTGTGAAAATACACATTTTTGCACAAAAATGCAGAAATGTGTCTGTCTATGACTCTCACATGTTTTCTGGCTAGTGTTTGCCCTCCTCATTTGAGGCTTCATGGTGGCCCCTCAGCAAGTCCATGCCTAATGCCATTCAGTGGTAAACAAAGAGTCTTTTTATATAAAAGTCCAGGGTCTACAGCTCAGCTGTACTTGTAGAATGCAGGAATCTGCTAGAGGCCAGTGTTGCCTTTGCAGCAGCTCTTGTGCTGCCCCCTTTTTCGGAGGACCAGTGTCCAGCATCTCAAAATACATATGATGGTCCACATGGAGTTTGTATCACCAACATTTCAGAAGATGTTCAAAATTAAAGAAGAGGGTTCAAGCCCAAGACAAATAATAGTCGTTATTTCTTGCAAACTCCTTATATTTTACCATTGGAATTTATGGTGAATAATTGCACAGAGAAATTATAAAGACTCCTACAATTGTCCTTGTAAATTAATAATAGGCTTTCTTGATTGGGATAAATTTGCTGCTGAGCCTTTGGAAAAATTAAAAAGTGCAATGTCATTTAAAATTGCCAGAACTCGCACAGCAAATTACATCTGAGGTTAAGAATTGAGTTTTTCCCCCTCTTCTAGCTTATTCCATTTGCATGATCTGGAAATCACATTACATTGGCCATGTATTGTTAATTGGACATAGATTGCATTATCTTTAATATAAATCAAACTACAAATATTAAAATGAATTGCAAATTCCCTAATAGAAGATCATAAAACAATCTTTTTTAAAGTATCTCCCATTAATAATTTAATTCTAATTATATCACTCAGAGAACTTAAGTAGGAGAACTTATTTCTC